AAGTTTATATATATATATATATATATATATATATATATATATATATATATATATTGACCAATATTAAAACGAATTTATGATGAATTTTAAGGTCAATAAAATATTATGTATAGATGAATTTATATGATCAATTAATCAAAATTATTTAATACGTAAAATCATATAAAGTTTGAAGAGAATTATACACGAAATTTTTATTAAAAATATATTATGAAAACAATATTTATTATTTATATTGCTACTATTATTAATATTATTATTAATATATTATTATTACTGACTGGGGGTGATCGATAATTTTAACTCTATTATTATATTATTATTATTATTATTTTATTATTTTTAAAATATTAATAATATTGCTGATTGAATAAATTTATACATTTTATACTCGATTATTGTTACTATTATAATTATAATTATAATAATTTTCTTAACACTATTTTTTTTATTGTTTAATAAATAATTGATATTAATAAAAAAAGTTTCTGTACAATAATTACAGATATAAAATGCAATTTGTTTTACAATTAAAAATTTTCTTTCCATTTTAGAATATTTAACTCTCGTGTTTAATTTTATCAATTAAATGCTTATGAATTTAAATTTACTGTAAAAATTATCAACATGTGAAAATCTTAGTCTTATTTACAATTTTATTTTTAGTACACGTTAAACGATTGTTAACTGCTTTTTAAACTCTTGCCTGTGACGATATGTGTGAAATCAATAAGTGGATAAACTCATTATAGGTCAGACTAAAGAAAAGTTCAATTTAATTTTAATTTTAATTTTAAAGTATAATAATTAAAACAAATTTTTTTTTCTAGTAATTATACAAAAGTCTGGAAAAATAATAAATTTTAATAGAGACATTTTTTAAAGCATAAAAAAAAATTTCCCTTGTTTTTATATTTTATAAATGAGTGTCATGGGAATATTTCGATTTTCAGCGTAGATTATGAAGATAAGTGGAAAAAGAAAGTCATGGTAAGACTGTAGCCTTAGTTTTAAATAAATTTCTTTTTCTAAACTGTCGAATTTTTGGGTTTTTATTGAAATAGTAAAGTAGTAGTAAATAAAAAAATAATGTAAATAAAAAAAATGCAAATAAATAAGTATAAATAAATAAAAAGTAAAAAAAAAGAAAATAAAATAAAATACAATACGGTAAATGAAATTAAATATTGAAAAAATATGCAAATAAAATAAAACATAAAATTCAAATAGTCGGAAAATAAAAATCTAATTAATAATTGAAAATACAATTTTTTTTCCGCCAAGTTAATAAATTCATTTATTTCAGTAATTAAATAAACAAAACAAAAATTATCACTTATCGCATTCAACGTAATAACAATGCATTTTAAATTCAACCATAAATTTTTTTATATTAAAATATTCACACCTTATAATGTCAGATTTAATACACCTGTAATAAATTTCACATGTCTTCGAGTATTAAATTATCTTATAAAGGCGTTAATACTTAAATCCACGTGTGAAATTATAAAAATTTAATGCACTTATTATATATTCATTAAAAAAAGAAATAATAAACAATAAAATTTAATTACACATAAACGATTTATTATTTTAAAAAAGAGAAAAATCTCACACACTTTGTACTCGATTTATTTATTTTCGATATTATTATTATTCCTTTATTGGAAAAATTTTAATGGAAAATTATATTTTTTTTTATATATGGGGGAAATATAATATAAATTTGAAAAAAAGTAATTTTTTGTTTTGTTATAAAAACAATTTTATTAGGGACTATCTGAGAAAAATGGAGGAAAAGAGAGGAGAAATTGTCAAAATTAAGTAACATTTCAGTTTTTCTTTCTAACGGACATAAAATTCGATACGAAAGTAATCACTTGTGTATTGAATTTTGTGTCGAAGGAAATAAAACTTAAAAGTGAAATGCAATTTTTTTTGACATGATTACTCGATGCTTTTATTTCATGTTCAATTGTTTTTAATACAATGGTGTATTATTTTCTCTATTTCGAATTAAATAACAAGGGGTAAAGTGTATCAATTATTTTGAGTGTTTTAATTACTGTGAGTTTTTGCGCTCTCTAGATTTCAATTTGTCGAAAATGATTAATTTGATGGCAGGAAAAAATTTTTCCAACTAAAAATTGCTACTAAAATGCTAATCAAAATTTTTACTAAAATACTACTAAATTATCGACTATAATTCTAATAAATTTTTTTACTAAAATTCAACTAAACTATAAATCAAAGTTTTACTATAAAATTAATGTAAACTGTCTACTAAAGTTTTACTAAAATTTCTACTAAAATAGAACTAAGTTTAAAATCTATTAAAATTAAACTATACTATCTACTAAAGTTCTACTAAAATTACTAGTAAACTAACTATTGTTATTTCACTAAAATTTTTACTCTAATTTTACTAAACTATCTAAACTAACTAAAATTATATTACTGTCTACTGAAATTATATTAAATTTTTTACTACAATTGTACTAATTTCACAACTAACATTCTACTAAAACTTTTAACTATAACCCATTTAAATATTGCTAATAATTTTTTAAAGTATCTTCTAATTTTTTGATTACGTCCAAATAAATTGGAATAAAAAAATTATTTTGCTAAAGTTTCTACTTAAATTCTACTAAACTAGCAAAACTATAACTCTACTAATTTTACTACTAATATTCTACTAAATGTTTTTCTAAGATTTAGTTAAAAATGATAATTATTTTCTAAATTAAATTTTGAATTTGTTCAAAATAATTACTTTGATAAAAAAAAATTATTTTGAATTTGTTCAAAATAATTACTTTGATAAAAAAAATTTTATTTACTAAAATTTTATTTAACTTTTCTTTACAATTTCTTAACCCTGTGTTATAAAAATTATTTTTATATTTCTAAATAATACAAAATTCCTAGATTGCAAAAAAAGTTGTAAAATTATTAGAAATTAATTTTTAAATAAATTTTTATTCGAAAATTCTACTCGAATTCAATTATTTAAATGCAAACATAGATAATTTATTTAATAATTAAATGTTTTTTAAAATTGAATTCTTATACATTATTTTATCACCAAATTTTTAAATAATTGAATTCTTTTGGCGATTTTGAATGAAATTTTTAAGAATAATTACATTTTTCAAGGAATTCGATTGAAATGGTACTAAAAATAATTAAAATTCTGCAATGAGTATTATTATTTATGAAAATAATTGAATTATTGGGAAGAATTTAAAAAAAAAATTCCAAACAATTGACTTTTTTCAAAAAAATTTATGCAAATTCTATTTTTAATAATTGAATTTCTGCGTAAGATTGTCATTATTTTAGAAAACAATTGAATATATTCATATAGAATTTTGTCAAAATTGTTTTTAAATAATTGAATTCTTTTGGGAAATTTTATTAAAATAATTTATATTCAAATTATCAAATTAAAAAAAGGTTTTTGAAAATTTTTTAAATTTTGATATGAATTTTATTAAAATTTTTGAAAATAATTAACTTTGATTACTTTTAAAAATAATTGAACTCTTGTGATAAAAAGTATTATTTATAAAAATAATTGACTCCCTTCGAATGATTTTATTATTATTTATGAAAATAATTAAATCCCTACTGAAAGGAATTTTACCATGAATTTTATTAAAATTTTTGAAAATAATTGAATTTTTGTGATGAATACTATTATTTATGAAAATAATTGAATTTTCCGATGTTTATCAGAATTTCTGAAAATAATTGAATTTTGTCGAAGAATTTTGCTATTCATTTATAAAGATAATTTGAAATGTTGACGACAATTTTTTTAGACTTTTTGAAAATAATTGAATTTCTGCAAAGAATGTTATTAATTTGAAAAAGAATTGAATTCTTGCGATGAATATTGTTATTTATGAAAATAATTAAATTTTGCAATGAATTTTATTTAAATTCCTGAAAATTATACAAATTTTTAAATTAATAAATTTCGTGATAATTTGATAGTTTATAAGGCAAACAAAAAGATACAAAAATTGAGAATTTTCTTACAAATTCTAAACATTTAATTTTTTCCTGTACTTTTAATAAAAATCCCTGACTTTTCCCTGATCTGTGTCATCCCTGCGTCTAGTCTTTATATGAGAAAATGAAAAACTATCTTTGTCCCGATTACAGCCCTACTTCGAGTTTGGTCCAATAGGATTTTTTTTCGTAAATTGTAATTTTAGGTTAAAAAAATCCCTCCTAGTTTATTCATAAAAAAAATACAGTTTCATTTTATGTGAAAATAAAAAACTATCCTCGTCCTAATCACAGCCCTATTTCAAATAAGTTTAACCCAATGACATTTTTTCCTTCTGCCAATTGTTCTTTTAGGTTCAAAATATCCCTCACAGTTAATTTATCAAATGAAATTCGAAAAAATGAATGGAGAGAATTTTTTTTTTCTTTTTTGGTTTCTAAAAGTCGCGCTTTCGACGATAGAGAAAAATGCGGATAAAATCTCTCGTTGGCCAAGGATATCTCGCATCTTGCAGTTCGATTTGCCGAAAGAGGTTAAGTAGTGCAGGCCGATCGGGTGGTCGGCCAAAAGAATAAGGTAGACACGGAAAATAAAGCTCTCTCTCTCTCTTTCTCTTGAGAAAAAAAAAAGAGAGAGAGAGAGAAATAGAGAGGAAAGAGGAAAAAGACAGAGAAATACTGATGGAAGAGTGAAACAAGGCCTGGCAGGAAGGACAGATGGATATGAGGAAGGAAGGAAAGGAAAAGAGAGAGAGAGTGAGAGAGAGAGAGAGAGAAAAGGATAAGGAGAGGAACGTTTTCGCTAGCAGGCTAGCAGGCGAACAGGCCGTTGTCGGAGGCGGGCCGATCGGTCGTCCCGCACTATGCGGCTATATTATGATCGCGCAAGCGCGTAAAAATCCCCCTCCACCCCCTCCCCTCACGTCAGCCCCCCACCCCCCGGGCGGCGTCCCCCGCCCCGCGCAAAGAGCGCAGTGTCGCGTCGAACTTCTCGCAGAGCGCGTCGCACGTTCGAGTACCGGCCGCCGCCCGTCATCAGTAGTCGCCGACCTTCCTTAGTTTTTAGTAGTCAGTAGTCGGCTCGTTTGTCAACAATTTTCACAAACCGTCTATTTATCAAATTAACAACCAGCAAAAAAAAAAAAAAAATTAAAAAAAAACATATTTCCATCATCAAAAAAATAAATAATTCTCTCGTGTGAGTAAAATTGTTTTTCCCTCCCGCTTCCCCTTCGACGAAAAAAAAAAATACGAGGAGAGATAATCCAAAACATTGAAAATATATTTCGGGCACTACATTTTTTTGTGCTACGAATCAGAAAAAAAAATCCTGTGCTTTAATAGAGAATAAACAACCAAAGGAAAGAACATTCGTGAGAGTTTGTTTTTTTGCAATAAAAAAAAAAAAAAACCGAGCCGTCGCAAACCCGGCTCGGCCCGGCGAAAAACGATAGAGACACACGCAGAAAAATAAAACAAGAAGAAGGCGAGAATCGACGTGCAAAAAAAAGTAATCAGTAATTCAAGAAAAAAAAAACGTGTGCTGTGTCTCATTTTGCTTATTGTTAGAAAGGAAAATAATCTCTGGCTAATTATCGACTTATCAACAACAACAACGAGACGAAATGGAACAACAAACACAAGAAATCGTGGCCAGCGGGTCACCAGCCGAGGTGCCCAACGATCCAGGGTATGGATCATTAAAAAAAAAAAAAAAAAAAAAAAAAAAAATGAAACCATCCGGTTTTCATCAATTTGGAATTTTTGCTATTACCCTTCATTCCAACGTACCACCTTAGCCAACAACCTGCACCACCCGCAAAAAAAGTGTTCAAGATCACTGTGCTGTTTGTGTTTATTCAGTTTTTTTTCAGTTTGCATTATGGAGAAAATAAAATTGCGGTGTTTATTTAATCCCGGTGAGATAGTTTCATGAAAACGGTGTTGTTCATTTAGAAAAGAAAATTGGGAATTTAATAATATCCTCGATCGCTCCGAATTTAATTTTTGTTTTGTGTTCACGATAATAGAAAAATCGGGGGAAATGGAAAGTGAAGAAAAGGGAAAAATAGAAAAAAGAAGAAATAGGAAAAAGAAGAAAATAGAGGAACATGAAAATAGAAAGAAAGGAAAGAGAAAAAAATTGAAAATAGGATAAAGAAGAAAATAGAAAACTGGAGGAGAAAAAAGCAGAAAATAGAAGAAGAATGTAGAAAAGAAGTAAATAGAAGAAGAGGATAAAAGGAAACGAAATTACAGAGAAAAGTAAATCGAAAAAAACAGATTAGAAGAAGAGGAAAATAAAAAGAAAATAGAAAGAAGAGAGAAAAAAATAGAAAGAAAGTAGAAAGAGAATAGAAGGAAAGTAGAAAAGGAATAGAAAAAAGTAGAAAGAGAATAGAAAAACGTAGAAAGAGAATAGAAAGAGAATAGTGAAAAAGTAGAAAGAGAATAGAAAGAAAGTAGAAAATGAATAGTAAAAAAGTAGAAAGAAAATGGAAAGACAGTAGAAAGAGACGAAAAAATAGTAAAATATAAAGAAAAGAGTAGAAAGGGACTAGAACAAAAGTGAGAAGAAAGTAGAACAAAAACAGGAAGAAGGTAGAAAAAAATTTGAAAGAAAGGAGAAAGAAAATTGTTAAAAATAGAAACAAAGTAGATAGAGAGTAGAAAAAAGTAGAAAGAAAAGGTTAAAAGTAAAAGAAAATAAGAAAAAAATACAAAAAGTAAACAAATATAAAGAAAATAGAAATAAAGTAGAAAGAGAATAGAAACAAAATAGAAACTAGAATCAAAGTAGAAAGGGAATGGAAAGGAAATAGTTATCAAAACAGAAAAAGAGTAACAAGAAAATAGTTATAAAAAGAAAAAGAGGATAAAAAGAAAATAGTAATCAAAATAAAAAGAGAATATAAAGAAAATAGTTATCAAAATAGAAAGAAAATAGAAACAGAATAGAAAATAGTAGAAAGAAAGTGGATTGAAAATAGAACGAGACCAGAAAGAAACTGCAAAGAAATCAAAAAAAGAAAATAGTACGAGACCAGAAAGAAACTGGAAAATAAATTAAAAAAGAAAATAAGAAACAGAAATCAAAATAATGTGGGAAAATAAAAAATTCCACGTATTTTTGAAAAAAGTTGAAAAAAAACGAATTTGGAAGTAGGATAGCAGGAGATGGAATGAGAAGCTAAAACGGGTTCGTCGTCGTAGAACGTCGTCGTCACGTGGTCGATAACTCGGCGTCAGTTACGAACCACGTGGGAGAAGGACCTGACCTCTCCCTACGCTCTAGAAAAAAAAATTCTTTCACTCTCGGATCAATTGCATTTCTTCTTCCCTCATTGTTGAATGTAATTCCGGAAGTGCTTCATTAATTCTAATTACAATAATTTTTTCACCAACAATAGCAAATCGTCATAATAACATAAAAATTACTAACATTTCATTAAAAAAAAAAAAAATTATATAATTTTGAAAATTTCCAAAAATTTGCTATTTTTAAAATGAAACAAATATTCTTTGAATAGAACGACGTATTTTTTTACATTAGAAAAAAATATTTCTTTAATAAAAATAAAGTATTTTTAAAGAAGAATAAATATTTTTAAAGACAAACAAATATATTTAAAGACAAACAAATATTTTTAAATAAAACAAATATTTATCGATAAAAAAAATATTATTCGATAAAAAAAATGTCTTTCAATAAACAAAATATTTTTCAATAAAAAAAATACTTTTCAAATGAAAAAAATGTTTTGAAATAACTATTAACAATTAGTTCGAAATAATAGAAGAGAAAAATTGAACAAAAAATGGTAGAAGTTGAAAAAGTTAGAAATCTGCAAAAAGGGAGAATTTTGTTTTAAAAATTAATAATTGCATAAAAATACTGCAAATGGAGAAATGTATTAAAACATAGAAATTGGAAAAAATACTGGGACAGAAGACGAGTACAATTAAAAATTAGAAATTGCAAACAAAAATATTGAAAAAAAGGTTTTTTAAACATTAGCAAATGTAAACAAAAAGTACTGCGAAAGGAGAAAAGTTCCATTAAAAATTGCAAATTGCATTAAAACTGCAAAAAGGAGAAAAGTTGTTACAAAAATTGAAAAAAATACTGCTAAAAGAAAAAGCTTTTTTGAAGATTCCAAAAATATAAAAAAAAAACATTGCGAATAAAAAATACTGCAGAAAAAGAAAAAATTACAAAATGCAAAAAAAACTTACATGCAAAAAGGGAAAAGTTATTTCTAAAAATTCGAAAAATATAAGAAGAATATTTCAAAAGGAAAAAAAATTGTTAAAAAAATTGTGAAAAATAAAAAATCTGTAATTCGATCGCCTGGGATATCCAACTACATCAGTTTCAAAATCATAAAGAACTGACAAATATTTCTTCAATCAAATTCCATAATGAATGGAAAATACAGATATATATATTTGAAAAACTAAATTCTGAAAATTGAATTTATCCAGGCAAATATAGAACCATGTGTTATTCACATCATAAATACATTATAATTTGACAGTTAACGAATTTCATACAACGTTAATATCTAATAATAGGATCTAATTTCGTTACATATAATTTCCCAATAATAAAATATCCATTTCACTCTATAGCTATATAGAAACAGACTATAATTAAAATCGATTGAATTATCATTTTGGAAAATTTCTTCAATTAAACTAAAGATAAAAGAGGAATTTTTTTTTATTAGCTGTCATGTAAAATTGACCTTATTTTTTGTTCTATTTAAAATATAATGACTCTAACTAAGGGTTTGTGAGGAATTATAGGGGAAAACTAGTCAGAGCCCTATTATAACCCTGTATCAAATTTGGGAAAATGGCAAAATGGTAAAGTGCCATTTTGCCAAAATTAAAAATTTTAATTTAGAAAAATTATAATAATTATATCAAACATCGGTGAGGATATTTTTCCAGCTTTACTCAATTGAAATAGGGCTTCAGCAAGGGCCTAACTAGTTTTCGCATAGTTTTTGCCTAGTTTCTCATTAAAGGCCTATTTAACACAACAAAAAGTGTTTAATAATTATACGAATCATTATTAGTTGGATATTATTATTATATTACTATTATACTATTATTAATATTATTATTATTATCAATATTATTATTGATATTAATAATAGTAACTATTATTAACTTTAAAAATAATTTAATTTCAAATTTTAGTTATAAATATTATTTTTATAATTATTATTATTATTATGATTATTATTATTACTATTTTTAAAAATATTAATTTTATTATTATTATTATTATTATTATTATTATTGAAAGTATACGTGAAGAATTTCATAAATATGCTTGGCTATTTCACAATAATATCAGAAAACTAAAATATCAAAGTATGCGCTTATCTGTTGAAACATTTACTGACAAAAACTATATATCTTTATATCAAATCGTAAATACCTGATATTCGCTACATAACAACATAAAAAAAAAATATATATATATATATACTTCGAAAAGAAAAAATTAAAAGAAAATTTAATTATTATTCGAAATTTTGTAATATGAAACAGAATTTTTTTAAAATTTTTATATGTAATTTTAGACAAAATTTTACAATAGCAAAAATGATTTTTAAAAAAAAATAAAAAGAAGTAGATCTGTTAAGAATTATTTATTTAATGCATATATGCGGAAAAAAAGAGACAATAATAACTTACAAAGAAAAAAAAGAGAGAGAAAAGAATGCAGTATTTTATCATGAAAAATAATCTTCAAAACGACGTTAATTAGATAATTTGCCAAGATTGTGTTTTGATGCAAGTGTAAACAGAACCTAATTACGTTTCTGATAAGATTATTATTATTATTAGTATTGTTACACGAGATTTGTAATTACATTCTCATTTTAGAAAAAAAAGAGTAAAAATTCATAATGAAAACTTGTTGCATTCATTTTTTTAATGTTTAATCGAAATTTTAATAAAACAGTAAACTTGTTATTTTTGTTCCAGTTTAAAATTTTTTTTATTAAAATTATAAATTATTGTTATTTCCAACTATTATTATTATAATTATATATTACTTTTATTATAAATATTTGTATTATTACTATTATGAACAGTATAATTTTGCAAAGAATCTATAATGAAACAAGTTTTTTCCCTTATGAGTTACGTATTCAGGTATCAAATGCTTGCACAGTTGGTCCAGAACTTAATGAAGTTTCCATTGAATTTATAGCCCTAGGCAAAAAGGAATCTGCATATTATAGTTTATTAAAATTTAATTTTTTTTTCAACAAAGGGGGAAAAAAAATAATAAAAGAAAAAATTTTTTCTTTATAAAATCCAATTTACAAAAATTGACTTTCTCGAATGTAACTTCTTAGGACATTTTAAGATGAAAAGTAATGAGAAGATTTTAATGAATACTTTATTTTTAAGTATATAATTTATACGATTAAATTATTTGTATATTTTTCTCGCAATCGTAATGGATATTATTGTTTTAAAAATCAATAGTTTCTTCTGTAAAGACGTCTCATGTAGCATTTCCAACTTTTCATTCACAAAATTCTATCTCAATCATTAACAAGGACAAAACATTATTTATTCACGAGAAATATTAACAAGAGTACTTGTTCACAAATTACTTATTATATATATCATTGTATCAAATTGATTATAATTGTATTGAATAGACATCTTTTTGAACGTGAAATGAAAATTCAGTCGGGGAATTTTCATTTATAAAGAATATTTAAATATTAATAATTGAAAATCAGAATATTTGTGGAGAAAAACTCGAGAAAAACTAATTATTTGATGTGTTTAATTTTTATATAAGAAATATACGGGCTAATTATAGTTATTAATTAATAATCGATAAGAAAAAGTTAGTAATTAAAATTTGGCAATTAAATGTTAACAAATAATAGTTAAAAAATAATAGTTAACAATAATTATTAAATAATTAATTGTTATTATCTAATAATTATTAATTTATTGTTATTAATTAATAGCTGATGATTAATAGTTATTGAATAATAGTTAACAATTATTATTTAACCATTAAAAGTTATTAATTAATAGATTATAATTAATAGTTAATAAATAATAGTTAACAATTATTATTCGATAATTAACAGTTATTAATTAATAGTTAATTAACAGTTATTAATTATCAGCTGATAATTAATAGTTATTATAATAAATAATAGATAATAATTAATACTTCACAATTATTATTCAGTAATTAATAGTTAATAGTTATTTTTCAACAAATATTTTTTAATTATTATCATTCAATAATTAATAGTTAATAATTATTTTACAAAAATTATTTTTTAATTATTATCATTCAATAATTAATAGTTAATAATAATTATTTAATAATGAACAGTTTATAATGATTAATAGTTATTAATTAATAATTGACTGGAGTCCTCGAACCCAACTTCGAGCAGGGAGAGTAAATAAATAATTTAAATAATTTATTAATAATCTACGCTTATTACTTATTAACTAATAGTTAATAATTATTATATAAATAATATAATAATAATAATAATAAATAAATAAATATTATGAATTAATTAAATATTGATTAATAGGAAGAAGTCCACTGAACATGGATTAAAATAGCTAATAATCATCAATCAATTATTGATCAATTATTAATAATCAAAAATTATGATTGATCCATATTATTTCCTCCTTTTTTCTTAGAAGTTAATTTAAAAATTTTAAATGTACCAAAAATTTGAAAATATTAATTGTTTTGAAAATATAAATAATGATTAGGGGGGTAAAAATTTTTTAGAATGATTTACTCGAGTAAATGTAATATCGCAAGTTTTTTTTCGGAAAGGGGTGGGGGGAGAGGCTTGAAAAAGCTTCCGGATATCAATATATTCGAGGCAGAAAGCAGCACAAATACCAATAGCATATCGGAATGAGAGAAAAAGCGAAATAACTTCGAAAAAACCAAGTCACCCAAGTTTTTAAAGTGGTTCGTTATCGATAATCTGGAGTGGCAGAGAGAGAGAGAGAGGAGAGCCCCCTCCGCCCCCGTGTGCGCATTGAGTGCACGTTTCAAAACTCTCTCGCGGAGCGATCGAGGATTAGTCAGATTGCTTTTCGCGATCGATTTTAAGTGAATTCCTGGCAACGAGGGGTGAAATTTTCTCTTGTTTTTTCTTCTTCTTCTTCTTCTTCTTCTTCTTTTTTTATTTTTTGGTCAAAAAGTGAAAAATAAGGGGGACAACGCATGGATGAAAAAATGAAATAAAATAAAAAAAAAAGGAAGGGGAAATAATTTGTTTTCGGTGTTTATAAGTTCTGTTTGTTCATCAATAATTTAAAAAAAAATACACGTGCAAAATGGGAGTTATAATAATAAAAGAAAAAAATGGACGCTTTTGATTTTGTTCGGGAGTTCAGTTGTTGGTTGATGTGTGGTGACACCTGTCGTCGAGGAACGGAGACTGTCCAGGGGTGGTTCGTGTAACCGGAAGTTACCCTCTGACGGCAGTTCTCCTGTTCTCAATTTCCTTCGCTTTGTTCCGCTTCTATATCATTCCATCACGACGACAGGCGAATGATGATCATGCTGATGGATTCATCTTTCTTTTTTTCTAGGAAAATGTTCATCGGTGGACTATCATGGCAGACTAGTCCAGGTAAGAATTCTTTTCTTCTGATAATCTTATTTTTCTTAATAATATTTTTAAGACTTTCTTTCCAGCGAGAACCTTATTTTCATTTTCGTTTACATCTTTATTTTCATTTTCACCTTCTTTTTCACTTTCATTTTCATTTTCACTATTTTTTTTTTACTTTCATTTTCATATTCTTTTTTACTTTCAAATTTATTTTCACTCTCAATTTAATTTTACATTCTTTTTCACTTTCATTTTCATTTTCACTTTCACTTTGATGGATTTTTATTTTTAATTTCATTTTCACTTTCATTTATATTTTGATAGATTTTCATTATCACTTTGAAAATAAAAATATAAATATGTATAAAGATGAATGTGAAAATAAATTTTTGTTAAAGTGAAAGTGATAATAAAAATCCGTCAAAGTGAAAGTGAAAATTAAATAAAAAATCTGGAAAATTCATAGTAAAAATACAACCATAAATAAAAATATATGAATGTGAAAGTGAAATTAAAAATCAAGCAAATGAAAGTGAAAGGAGAACTGAAAATGAAAAGGCATCAAAATAAAGGTGAAAATGAAAATCAAAGTAGAATTGTATTAAACATATTTTATAATTGAATTAAACATAATTTTTTTTAAAACTCTAAAATAACGTTCCGTACTCTCTAAATGTGAATTAGTAAAAATGTTCACTAATTTGAATTAGTAACAGACTTTCAGATTTTTAATTAGTAAATTACTATTTAGTAGATAGTAAATTACTATTTAGTAAATACTAAATTACTATTTAGTAAATAGTAAATAGTAAATCACTATTTAGTAAATATTAAATTACTATTTAGTAAATAGTAAATAGTAAATTACTATTTAGTAAATAGTAAATAGTAAATTACTATTTAGTAAATAGTAAATAGTAAATTACTATTTAGTAAATAGTAAATAGTAAATTACTATTTAGTAAATAGTAAATAGTAAATTACTATTTAGTAAATAGTAAATTACTATTTAGTAAATAGTAAATTACTATTTAGTAAACAGTAAATTACTATTTAGTAAATAGTAAATTACTATTTAGTAAATAGTAAATTATCACTAAAAAATTTATATTTTACTAATAAATCAATAGAAATTACTATTTATTAGTAAAAATTTTAAACTTTTCTAATAAATTAGTAGAAATTATTATTTATTACTAAACTTCACTAATTCAAAAGCAAAAAGTCAGTTGCTAAACATTTTTACCAATTCAACTTTAGAGAGTACTACAAGTTTCCCTTGGTTTTTTAAAGAAACAACAATCAGAAAGGTAGAATCAATTAATTTTCTCAATAATACATAATGTATCATAATGTATCACTTAAATGTCTCACAACATAAAATTAAATTTTGACACATAAAATAAGAGCTTATATGTATATATTCATATTTTATTATTTAAATTTAGTTGCAAATTTTAGAATATACGATTATGTATTTCTTACACAGAATGGAAATCAAATTGTTCGAGTTAAATTATTGTTAAATGTGTGTGTTTATATATATGGTGGCACATTGAAGTTTATAATGGACTTAAAATGCGCGAATACTGAAATTATTATTAACTGTCGTGTACCTACATTTTGACTTTGGGGGGTTGAATACGATTATATAGTGGAAAAGCCTTTACGTAATTTCCCCATCAGTTAGAGGACAATAACAATCTGATGTCCTTTATTTGGAATGGTGCCTAATCGGATTGTCGGTTCAGCATCCCCCACAACGGTCCACACATACTAATCCTAATCCTTTGGTCAGTCTAGTTAACATGTCTCCCTCTCACGTGTATGTGTATATGTACAGCTTAAATGTCTCTTAGAAAGAAGTTGTAACAAATTGTTCTTGAATTGTAATTTTATTTAGATTTTACATAGTTTACTATTATTTACTATTTTTTTTGTATTTTTACTACTTTTTTACTATTTTTGAAATATATTTAACTATTTTTTTTGACTTATTTTTAGTACAATTTTCTACTTTTTACTATGTTTACCATTTTGTACTACTTTTTATTATTTTTTACCACATTTTACTACATTTTACTATTTTTATTTTACTCTAATTTTACTATTTTTTTGTTCTATTTTTTACTACTTTCTACTATTTTCTACAGTTTTTTACAATTTTTAAAATTATTATTTACTATTTTTATTTTTTTAATTATTTTTTACTACTTGTCACTATTTTTTACTATATTTACTATTTCTTATACTATATTTTATTATTTTATATATTTTAGTTTTATCACTTATTTTTATAACTCGACAAAGCAATTTTTTTTTTTGCTATGATGGAAATATTGTCTGACCAAAACAATTTTATCTACTTTAGAAATTTTTCTAACGAAAATAGTAATTAAAAATAAATTACTTCGTCTTGTTCAAAAGAAATTCTTTTCAAAAAATAATTTTTTCTGATCTTTAAAAGAATTTTTTGTTGGAAAACCGGTTTTATACTTTAAAATAAATGTCTGACCAATACGGTTTCATCTACTTAATGATGAAATTTTTTTTTTTACTTATAAACAATTTTTTTATTCAAAAACTGATTTTATACTTTAAATGTCAGAGCAAACAGATTTATTCATTTATCATTTTTTAAAATACTGAATCTGTTATATTACTAAAACTGTCTTACCATAAACGATTTTTTTTACTTAAAAAGAATTTTTTTCATCAAAAACTATTTTTCTACTTTGAGATCAATGTTGCCTTACCACAACGGTTTTATCTACTTGAAAATATTTTCATTTTTCAAAAGACAACTTATTCGAAAACTGTCTGACCAAAACTTTTTTATCTACTTAATATATTGCAATTTTGAAAAATACTGTTTTCTTTAATTCAAAACAGCTGCCTTACGGTAAACGATTTTTCTATTTAAAAAAACATTTTTTTCTCCTAAAACTATTTTTTTTTACTTTAAAAACAATATTGTCTTACCATAACGGTTTTATCCACTGTCAAATATTTTTATTTTTTAAAAGTCCATTTTTTTGAAAACTCATTGTACTTCTATAAAAACCACGAAATTTGTTCTGACCAAAACGGTTTTATCTACTTAAATACAAAATTTCTATATAAAAACCATTTTTCTACTTCACAGTACTTGTCTTATCAAAATTACACTTTCATACATAAAATAACTGCCTTTTTTAGTTAAATAAAAAATCTGATGTTTCTAGAATATCTGCAAATTTATCAAAATCTCAAAAATCATTTTAACTTAAAATTATTAAACTAAATGGAAATTGAATATCATCTACCTGTATGTAAACATTTTCGAGAAAGTTATACATTTAAATTAGTTTATACTTTATACATTTTCGTTTCAAAATTTTATTCACATTATTATGTATAGTTAAAAATAATTTTATGTACAGTTGAAAAAAAATCATATACATTACTAAGTATAGTTGAAAAAAAAAATTTATTTCGACTAATGAAGAGTGAAATTTAATTATTGCAGTAACTAAAGCAGAAATAATGAGAGACCCACCCACGTTGAACGATATGTGGGTTTGACGAATGAAACGTAAAAATTTTGTTTCTATGGCTACAAAAGTTAATCATTGAATCTTATCGACGTCATGTTTAATTAGAAAATTGAATGAACTGGTCGTTTCTATATAAATTCTGTGTATATGATCCAAAATTACAATTTGTATTTACATGAAAAGACATTTATCAATTTGGAATGTAATTAGTGTCTCATAGGAGAAGTGATATATTCCATTAGGACGAATGTTAATAGCATTCGCCAAATGTCGCCTCTAATCAGAATATTAAATGACTAATCTCTCTTTCTCTAAGTTTAGAAAGCAAGAGCAGAACTTTTGCAAAAGATGAGGAAAAGAGCTTCTTTCATATTATAATTTATCGAAAATACAATTACAAGTCTCGGAATCACGCGATGACTATTGATACTTTTTGACACTTTTTTCACCTCAAGAAACTATATTTATGTCACAGTTTTTCTAAGGATATTAAACAGAGACAACAGCAGATAAAATTGTTTTGGTCAGACATTTATTTTAAAATTTAAAGTACAAAAACAGATTTCGAAAAAAAAATCTTCAAAGATCAGAAAAAATCGTTTTTTGAAAGGAAATTCTTTTGAACTAGACGAAGTAATTTTTTTTAAGACGATTTCTAAATGGATAAATTGGTGTTAGTCAGACAATATATTTTTATTTTAAAAATAATTTTTAAGTAGATAATACCGTTATGGTAAGACAACTAGAAAATATACTTAAAACACAGGCAGACTATTTTCGTTAGAAAAATTTCTAATGTAGATAAAATTGTATTGGTCAGACAATATTTCCATCAAAGCAAAAAAAAACTGCTTTGTCGAATTATAAAAATATATAGTAAAACTAAAATATGTAAAATAGTAAGAAATAGTAAAAAGTGGTAATAACTTTTTAAAAAAAATTTACATACAAGTAGATGATATATTATTCACATTTAGTACAATATTTTTAAGTTAAATTGATTTTCAAGATTTTAAAAAATTTGCAATTATTCTACAAATGTATGTTTCTAGAATTATTTTTTATTTAACTTTTATTTAACTTTTTTATTTAACCAAATAAAGGCAGTTTTTTTATGCAGAAAGTGAACTTTTGATAAGACAAGTACTGTTAAGAAGAAGAACGGTTTTTATATCGAAATTTTGTATTTAAGTAGATAAAACCGCTTTAGTCAGACCAAATTTCGTGGTTTTTATAAAAATATAATGAGTTTTCAAAAAAATGGACTTTTAAAAAATAAAAACATTTGACAGTGGATAAAACCGTTATGGTAAGACAATATTGTTATTAAAGTAAAAAAATAGTTTTAGGAGAAAAAAATTCTTTTTAAGTAGAAACATCGTTTACCGTAAGGCAGCTGTTTTGAATGAGAGAAAACACAATTTTTATAATTTGCAATTATGAAGTAGATAAAAACGTTTTGGTCAGACAGTTTTCAAATAA